GATGGAGAGCGGCTCGGCAACCACCTCAGCCAGCTCCTTCAGAACCCTGGGATGCACGCCATCTGGCCCCCTGGACTTGTACACATTCAGTCACATGAGGCGGTCTCGAACCTGCTCTGACCTCACAGCAGGGGGGATTTACCACCCCAGTTTCCACCCAGAGGTGTAGGGATGCAGGGCTCAGGGACGGGAGAAGTACTGGAGTCCTGGCCGCCAGTGAAGACCGAGGCAAAGAACTCATTTGGTACCTCAGCCTTCTCTCCGTCCGTTGAAGCCAGTTCTCCTTTTACATTTACCAAAGGAGGTACACTCGCTTTGGCCTGTCTCTTCTGGCCAATGTACCTATAGAAAGTCTTCCTATTGTTTTTCACGTCCCTCGCCAAATTCAGTTCCATCTGTGCCTTGGCTTTCCTGATCCCACATCTGCAAGTCCAGACGACATCCCTGTATTCTTCCCAGGTGGCACGCCCTTGTTTCCAGAGCTTGTACGCACCTTTCTTTGCCCTCAGCACTCTCAGCAGGTCCTTACCGAGCCACGCTGGCTTCCTCCCTCCTCTGCCTGCATTCGTTTGAGCTGAATTATCTTGTGGCATTACAAATGTAAGATTCAAGAAGTCAGTGAGGGGAAGCATTCTGCTGTACGTCACACTTGCAAACAAGGAAGAACTGGCCATGAATGTGAAGCTGAAGGGCAGACCTGGCTGCAGTTATTAGAGGCGGTTGTACAGGATAACGAGAGGACAATAGTGGGTCTCCTGAACTTCAATAGAGCTGACTTTGGCCTTTAAAGGGACCTGCTTGGAAAACAGGTGCTATACAGTCCTGGAGAGAAAGGAAGGGCTCAGGAGCATTGGTTGATATTCAAAAGCATCATCTCCTCCAAGCTCAAATCCAGCTGAGAACATGTTTACTTTAAAAAAAAAACAAACAAAAACCACCATTGCTGGCACCGCTGCTGAAACACTGCTCACTCAGTATCGAAGTCCTATCTACCATGACTTCGGCTTGGTCAGATATGTGGTTTCTACTAGAAATTAGCCTGCTGTAACTCAGATATGGCTCCCAAGACTACTACTACTTCTTCCATCATGCTCCATTACAAATTCTGTGATACTTCACAACTCTGTGATGTATTCACATAACTCAAACTATACATCATTATGTACACATGGAGAAGGTGTGTAATATTTCCTCGCAATGACATTTCCAAAACAGT